TCAAAGTCACCAAATGTTTTCTTGATAGCGGGACAGTACGGTACTGAAGGGATGGGGGTGAGAACAGTAGATGAAGGAAGGTGAGGAGGATCATTCAGCCTGTCTCTAAAATTCTACTCACGTCCAAAAATAGCATCCGAACGGCTGTCACACGGTCGTCACGACGCTGGGAATCAATACCAAAACCTATGGGCTGGGGATTTCTAGGCTGTTGTGACCAGGGTAAGCCCCAGTACTCTTCACTGTACAGCTGCAGGGAACTGTGATGTCATAAGTGTCAGATTTGAAAAAAAAAAAAAAGAAACCCAGCAGTAACACTGGATAGTGTTTGCAGTAGGACAATTACTAGTGAACTGGGTCAATGTCCTGGTCTTTCTCTGTCCAGTTTGCACATTCCCCCGTGTGGGTTTTCTCTGAGTACTTCATAATGAGGTTATTGTTCACCCTTTATCGATCCCAGGTATTAATATAGGTGTGAATGGTTGTCTCTACACAGCACGCAGCTCTCAGTGATGGACTAGTGAACTACTCCGGGGCTACCCCGCCCTCACCCAAGGACTGCTAGCATTAGCTCCCGCATGTTTTTTTTTTTTTTTTTCAATTGAATTCAACTTGGAACTCTCACTTATTTAAGTCAAGTGTCAGCCATTTTCTAAACATAATTCATTATTTATGTTTTATTTTTGTATTTATCTTCAATTCAATTTTCATTGATTTTTTTTTAATGGAAGCCTAACCTGAACATTTTTGCTTTTTTTTTTTTTACTTTTTTTTTTGAAAAAAAAATCTAAAAAAAGACAGTGGCATTTTATAATTGCGTCGACATCAAACTCCACTTTACTCCCCCCCCCCCTTTTTTTTTTTTTTTTTTTTACTTTATTGATTTTCTTTCCACCTCCCAGTGTGTGCCGGAGCAACAGTGACATATGGTTCCATATGTGAAACCATAGGTTAGGGGGCTGCAGCTGTTGCAGGGTCACTGTAGAAAAGATCAAATGATCCATTTGTCCATCAGATCACGTGTGTTGAACATGAAGATCCGTCGGAACATGAATCTGTATGATTAGCGAACTGAACCACTCGGGGAGAAAGGCTGTCATTTCCGTAGCGACCTTAATATATATATATATGTATATATAAAACAAAGGGTTGCACAGAAGTCGCAACATTCACTCCTGAGTTGTGGACAGCGTAGTAACAGAAAATGTCCTGGTTGTTGACCTCTGGATGAACAGAATTTAACGAAGAGTCCGGAGCAGCTAGCTAAAAAGGGAAGGAGATAAATGCTAAATGCAAAGCTAACAGAAGAGCAGAGGAGTTTTACGAATCTTGTGAATGTATGTTTGAAAAAGTCAAATTTATTTCGTAGCGTTACTTTTGGACATTAGTCAATTTTCTTAAGATTACATTTCTAAAAGATTTCTTGGCCACGGTAACAGTTATAAATAGTTTTATTAGTTTGAATGTAGCCTGTTGCGCTATTAGCATGAGTGAAAATAGCTAAATAAATATAATAGTTACATTGATTTGGGATCTCACAGCATCAACTTTATGATATATGAGATAGGAAATTTTGTAAAATATTAGTGTGTTCCATTTATTGTCAGTCATTAACTGATTGTTAATTAAAACTGAAAAAGTATATTTGTATTCCCTGTTAGCCTTAACATATAGCATTGGTGACGCAAGTTGTTTTTTGTTTTGAAGTTGAACATTTTTTTTTTACTTTGGTAAAATAATGTAATATTTAGTATTTGTTGTGTACAAAAAAAATCTCAGTCCAGAATTTTTACACCCTTTGCTCTCCACCATTACTTCCCAAAGGAAAATACAGTATGTATTTTTTTTTTTTTAGCTAATCAATAATTCACAGCTACGTTTTTCCCTTCTGTCTGTTCTTTACTTTAAAAAAAACTGCAACTCTGATGGGGGGAAAGTCCTAAAGGAAGTCCATTTTACAGAACCGGGGTTCAAGTTCAGCCAATCTGTCAGATGATTAAAAGGCACTCAGCAGAATTCAGACAGGCCTGAATATATTCCGCTCTCCAGACTTACCGCAGCATCTTGTTTGGCTCAACGACATTATTAGTCTGAGTCAGAATATTTATGGTCAACTTCAACAGTTTATGATTTTTTTTCTTTCCACTTCAGCTGCACAAGGTCGCTATTAAAAATAGAACAAATTTGAAAAAAAAAAAAGGAAATCCACGAACCTATTTTTAAATGGAATTTTGTGGCTTTTTTTTTTTTTTCATAAAGTGCTCCTTTTAACCTGATTTATCGTGTGATTAAAAGTGCTGAATAACACTGTAGGGGGCGTTTACGGTGCAGTCGAATTAGCTGTATTAGAAAGACTGTTGTGGGCCTTTTATCGTAATGGGGAGCAATATCTTTCTATAGAGGTGTTTTGTGGTCTAGATTAGGGGTCCTCAACCCCTGGTCTGGGGACCGGTGTCGGTCCGTAGGTCATTTGGTACTTCAGTTTTACAAAGGAATCCAGTCATATCACTTTAGTTTTTCATTTTAAGATAATCTGACAATGTTTCAAAACAACAGGTCATTCAGACTCTGATAAAAACAGAATAAAGACTAAAAGATGTTTTATTTTGAAAATTCAGCTCATACCAGTTGACCGGTCCTTGGTACAAAAACGATTGGTCTAGATAAGTAATTATTTATATATATATTAAAAACTAAAAGATGTTTTATTTTGAAAATTCAGTTCATACCAGCTGATAAGTAATTATTAAAAAAAAAAATTGCTGCCCCTCATGACCTTTATTGGTCAGACCAAATCCCATGGTCCACATTTGGTATAGATACCATAAGAATAGGTCCTGCCTACAATATGTGGTCCACATTCTTATAGATGAGTGAAATAATTCTTCAAAAGCGTCAGCGTGTTTGTCATTTCCTGGAAGGTGGAAACTCTCTCCTTTGTCCTGGTGTCAGAGTGAACCACCTGCAGTAGAATCATGGGGACAAAGCCTGCAGGATGCGTGCGTCCCTGGGCACCACAGCAGCGTCCAGTCTGTTGTGTATCTGGTGGCCTTTTCATTCTCCCTCTGCATTTTAAACACAATCCCCCTGTTGCCATGACACTGCGGCCTTCCATAAATACTCCTGGTATTTGTGAGTCTGTGTCCCCGCTGTAGGTTA